TTGGCGACGATAGCAGGCAGCAGAGAGAGGCACCGGGGCAAGAGGAGTTTCACGGAGCGCGGATGCGCTCTTCGGCTGACACCGCGTTGGCAGGCACGGTGCAGCCTACGGCACTACGAGGAGATGTTGAGAAGAAAGAGAATTCGTTGTTGGACTCCCGTGCTGAGGGAGGGAAACCAGAGGGCAAGCTAGGCATGGGCCGGATTGCTCTCGCTACGACGGTGCCGGCCATTGGAGCAGACGACCACGGCACGCCAGCAGCCGCTGAGAACCTTGGACTCCCGGAAAAGGGGAGTCGCGTGAACCCACAGGCGGTTGTAGACCAAGATGTTTCACCCAAGAACTTTGATCAGCTCATGTCCATGGCCAGGTTGAAGCTTAGTGAGTTGGAGAGTGAGCGCATGCAGAACACGGTAGAGGATACTAGCCCCATGGCAGACGATCTATTTCCTATCCCTCTACCCCTGGATCCATGGCCGAAATCAAACATGGCAGTGGCTGACATGATCTATGGGCTGAACAAGTATGCTTCGGGCAGGGGCGATGGACCTCGTCCGAACCGTGAACCTTGCGGAGTCGTGGAAAACTTAGGGAAGTTGTGTGAGCGCTTCAAGGTATGGGAAGAGCCGATGGGTCGTTTGAACTTCAAGGATTTTTCGCAAAGAGGGGAGTGACGTACGATGGGGAGGAGGTTCGTGTCGCCCAGACCTTGAGTTGGGAAGGAGTCCGTGGTTCGTTGCCTGATGAAGTGGGTCAGTTGGAGTTGCGGGATTTTTGCACTCACGGAACCCTTCATTACCTGGACCACTTTGAAGACCACCTAGTTGACACCTCTAACCTCTCCTGTCCTCGGGCCCCTCGCGTCATGGTGGGTGACGACTGGCCGTCCGTTTGCGAGGGACTCACCAAGAAGAACATTTGCGAAATCATGCCCGTGGACCAGCTCTTCCACATCGACAAGGTGCCTTTACTGAACGGTATGTTCGGAGTTGGGAAGGGGGAGTACGTTGGGTCTGTGGAGACCCAACGGCTGATTATGAATCTGGTACCCCTCAACCAGTTATGTGATTCCCTGGTGGGAGACGTAGTCACTCTCCCGAACATCACCAGCTTTAGCACTTTCCTTTTGGATGATGGCGACGTCGCGTTGATTAGTTCTGAAGACATCCGGTGTTTCTTTTATCTTTTCAAGATTCCGAACGCCTGGAAGAAGTTTTTGGGGTTTAATCGTCCTGTACCGGAGTCGATGGTCCCGGAGAGATGGCAAGGGCGTCCATGTGTGTTGACAGCTTGCGTGTTGCCTATGGGCTTTGTTAATAGCGTGTCCATTGCACAACACGTCCACCGGAACATCGTCAGTTGGAGCCAACAAGTTGATGGCGGACTGGGCGCAGAGTGTGAGATGCGCAAGGATCGTGTGAGCAGTCGGGCACGCACACAATACAGGGTCTACCTCGATAACTTCGATCTGGTAGAGCGTTTCGACCCCCCCACGGCTCAAGCCCTTGGTGGCCAAGTTGCAGAGGTGGTTGAACACTTGCGAGAACAGTACTCTAGTCAGAACATCCCCAGGCATCCAAAGAAGGCAGTGGTGCGCGCAGAGGTGGCGGAGATCCAAGGGGCCATCGTTGACGGCGTGGCGGGGTTCGCCCAGCCGAAACCCAGTAAGGTGATTCTCTACTGTCAACTGGCTTGGATGCTTGTGAGCCAAGAGCGGTGCACATTGAAGGAGCTACAAGTGGTTTGTGGTGGTTTGGTCTATTTCGCACTGTTCCGCCGGCCCCTTCTTGCCACGTTGAACGAAGTGTGGAGGTTCATGGAGAAGTTGAAAGTGCTCCCTCCCGTCATCCGATTGTCAATTCCACGTGTCGTCAAGGAGGAGTTGCTCACCTTCATCTTGCTGACCCCGTTGGCTCAGATTGATTTCCGGAGCCCTTTCGTTGAGCATGTGACTTGCAGCGACGCATCCACCACGGGCGGAGGCATCTGTGTCAGCGAAGGGTTGACTAGCTATGGTGTGGCGGCTCTGAATAGTGAAACCCGTGGGGAACTCCCGCGAGAGGGGGAGACATTGCAGGTGTTGACTGTAGGCCTATTCGACGGCCTGGGAGCGTTGAGGTTGGCGGTGGACAGCTTGGGCGTAGCAGTGGCCGGGCACCTGAGTGTTGAGAAAGAAGGCACAGGCCGAAGAGTGGTAGAAGCCTTTTTCCCGGACTCCATGTTCCATGACGACGTGAGGTCGGTCGATGAGACCCTGGTAAAAGGGTTGGCTCTGCGTTTCCCCTCGGTGTCACTTGTACTGCTTGGTGCCGGACCCCCGTGTCAGGGAGTCAGTGCGTTGAACGCGTCCAAGAAGGGCGCCCTCCGTGACGAGCGCAGCTGTTTGTACCAGGAAGTCCCACGTATACGTGACCTGCTCAAGAAGGCATTCCCTTGGGCCCAGGTCAGGACATTGATGGAATCAGTTGCCTCCATGTCCGAGGTTGATCGCAGCATTATGAGCAAGGCAGTGCAGATGACTCCCTACAAGATGGATGCAGCGGGCATCGGCCTATGTCATCGCCCCCGACTGTATTGGGTCGATTGGGACTTGAGCCCAGGTGAGGGAGTCACCGTCTCGACTCCCGTGGACTCGGATGATTGGCATGGTTGTGGCGTGGTCGAGTTGAAGGCGGAGGTCAAGGCGGAAGCTTTCTTGGAGCCCGGATGGATTGTCACCGAAGGATTCAAACTGCCTACGTTCACCACGTCCAGGCCACAAGACAAACCGGGGTTTCGACCAGCCGGACTAGATCGTTGCGCACCTCACGAACGCCAACGCTGGGAGGAGGATGGCTACCGCTTTCCGCCGTACCAATATCGGGACCACAACTTGCTCTGGACCAAGAAAGGTGCAGCCCGGCGTCCAAATGTTCAAGAGCGTGAAGCAATGATGTGTATCCCGGTGGGGTACACCCGCCCCTGTCTCCCGAAGGCTGAACAGAACGGATCAAAGTGGGAGGACACCGGCTGACATTGATTGGTAACTCCTGGCATGTAGGAGTCATTACGTGGCTTTTGGGGCAACTATTGGGACCACTAGGCTTCTGTCGGCGTCAATCCCTTCAAGAGACTGTTGACTACTTGACCCCAGGTGGAAGTCGCAGCTTGCAAGGTATCCTCCTGAGACCTCCGTTGTCCTCGACTAAAACGCTGGTGAGCTCCTTGGAGGGCCCTTTGTTGATGAAGTTGTTGGGGATGGTTTCTATGAAAGGGGAGGATCTTATGGTTACCGCTGCAAGTGAGCCCCAGGTGAAGTTCCATAGACTCCGGTCTAGTGTACCAGCCAAACTGTGGCGGTGGAAAGAGGTCGCAGGCTGGCGGTGGCACCACTCCGGGGACCACATCAATGTACTTGAGCTCAGGGCGATACTTACTACGTTGCGTTGGTTGGTTGCACGTCGAGGCATCCATGGTCGAAGGTTTTTGCACTTGACTGATAGTTTAGTTTGCTTGCACAGCTTGTCGCGTGGGCGGACATCGTCCCGGAAACTAAGACATGTTCTGAAGCGTGTCAACTCCCTGATCCTCGCTGCGGACCTCCACCCAGTGTGGGGGTACATCCACACATCCCAAAACCCAGCGGACCGGCCTAGCCGGCGTCCTCTCCATCGCAAATGGGAAAGGTAAAGCAGGTTTTGGAAGGCCGCAGTAAGGAACACAGGGCAAAAAGCCGGCAAGCTTTAGGAACTTTGAGACAACTTACAGTGCAACCGCAGACCCGCAAACGTTATACTCTGGCAAAAGATAAGTTCTACGCCTACGCCCGCTCTAATGGTTTGAACATTCCTGCTGACGTCACTGCCTTTGACGACATGTTGGCTGATTACATTGAGCATTTGTGGAGCATGGGAGAGGGACGCGCCCTCGCAAGTGACACTGTTGCAGCGTTTCAAGACACAGAACCCAGGTTGAAGGGGAAGCTTCAGGTTACCTGGCGCCTCTTGAAGACGTGGCACGTCAATGAGGTACCGAGTCGCGCGCCTCCACTTCCTGAAGGGTGCTTATTTGCCATGTTGGGTTGGTGCTTGTTCCACAAAGAATACGCTTTTGGCCTGAGCTTGTTGCTGGGATTTTATGGGTTGCTGCGTGCGGGGGAGATTCTCGGGCTGTGTAACAATCACATACTGATGACGTCTCCCGAAAAACCTGCAGTGATTTCATTAGGTTTAACAAAATCTGGAAAACGAGCCGGTGCCGCTGAAAGCGTCACAATTTCAGTCACATGTGCCCTTCAATGGCTTTGGGCTTGGAAACACACTTCCGCACCGCATTGCCCTCTCACACCTAAACCACACCAGTGGCGCAAGACCTTTAGTGACTGTTTAAAGGCGTTGAATCTCGAAGAATTCGAGTTCCGCCCCTACAGCTTACGCCGAGGAGGCGCGACGTGTTGGTTTGGCAAGCACGGATCCCTGGACAGGATCATTGTCCTTGGCCGGTGGGCCGCCGTGCGCACAGCACGGTTATACATCAATGAAGGACTCGCCTTGTTGGCCACTTTAAAAGTTCCACGGAAGTCGATACTTCCCTACCTCCGCTCGTTTCACCAGCAAGACCTTGCCAACTTGCCTCGAACGCTTGAGCGCGCTAAAGCAGTTTGGGGGAAAGTGGAATAGGGTAATGTGTGTGTGGAGGAAATTCGATTTTCCTGTGTCATTAGAGAAAGA